AGAAGACTGTAGTTAGATTAAAAAAAAGCATAAATGACTGCAGGGCTGAATGGTTCATGGCTGGCAGAGTGTGTGAGTGGACATGTGGAGAGCTGGGTGGGTTGCTGGCTGTGAAGAGCAGTGGGGGCACTGTAGCTGAACTAAGCAGAGAGCCCAGAGAGTGGCGAAATAATCCAAGTAAATAAAGAGTGAAATCAGCCAAATCGGCTGCTGTGCTCCGGATTTGACTGACGAGGTGGTGCAGGGCAGCGGACTGAGGTGGAGCAGAGTGGATGACGGGTGAGAGAGACGCTGCAGGTGGGGTGAAGAGGACTTTTTAGCCAACTGTGAGGTCAGTTTTGAAATCCGCGCAGTGATCGGCTCACGGTGAGCGCTCCCTTTTGATACCTTCTTTATTTTAGGGCTACTAATACCACCAGTCATCCAACTTTTCCATAATGATGTTCTTTGACAATAATAAAGTTATAAGTGAATTCTAATAAACATTTTAATGAAATAAATCATTTGCAATGTTAAGAAATCCCCTAAAATGTAATCGTAAATACTCGTTTTGTCAAATCTTACTTGTAATTGGAAACGTGGTGAAAATGAATTCATTACGCCCAAATATTTGTGTCCATTTGAATAGTTTTGTGCTTATGCAGAGCTTATTTAAAAGTATGCAATCTGTGCATCCCTCAAACACCCCCCCCCCACCTGTATACTGTAGGTCACCGCAAATGGAGGAAGCACCACAAACCAAAAATAGAGTTATAATGAAAAGCACAGACAGTGTCTGTATTGGACACTTTGTAATTCTTTTTTAAACACTCTGTTTCACTTCAGCTCTTTGTAGCTTTGCTTTTCGCGGTGGCTGACTGATGGACTAACAATAGCGCGAGAAGAGTAGCCACAGACTCGTATACGGGTTCTGCACAAGACCAGCATACATGCATTAAAAAGCCATTATGTGTTCATTAGCAGATGGACAGATATCGGTCTATCTGCTCTGCTCTTTTTGAAAACGTAAGCCTTACATTTGAACCACATCTATCTGACTCTTGATATAAGCATCTTGACACTAACATTTTCGCTCTAGAGGCAAGTCCCAAACAAACTGGCAGATGACAGAAATCTACACCACTTGTAGATAATTTTCCTTAGAGTGAAATGATTTAAATCCCCTGCCAGACTGAAACACACCCTCAACCTTTTTTTTCCCTTGAAGTCTTTAAAGAAGCCTTTAGATCGTGCCACGATAGCCCCCCCACACACACTTCATTAGCAAAGAGATATACAGCAACTCAGTTTTAGATATTTAAATAAGACAAGTTGCTCCTGTCATTCTCTGTGGCATCAAATCTGCACATGAAAGTGTGATAAATGTAGGGATGTGCTTCATTTTTGTCATGTTAGTGATCTTTTTTCTTTATTTAAAATACTGTGGAACACATCCAAAATAATGTACGAACCGGCGGACAAACGCCATTAAACCTGAGGAACAAAACCAATTTCTGCTACAACAACAACAACAACTGCTTCATTATGACAGCAAAGACAGACACATTAAATGGTCCCAGTCTATCCCGGAGGCTTTGTTAAGTTTTTGCCGCGGTGGTCAGTGTTTGATCTTGGTCTACAAAGCCCGACAATGCTCCATCAGTGCCCAGGAGCGCCACGGCGGCAGCTGTTATCGTACCGCCAAACATCAGAGGAGAAACAGTCCTCTCTGTCCTTGACTCCGGCACACACTTATTGAAGGAAAAAGCCTCCAGCGCTCTCTGTGCTTTCATAAAAAATAAATGCGGCATCAAAAAGGGCAGGTATCGAGTATCACAGTGTTTGGTGTATGCACAGTCACAGAAGCCACTGAATATAATACTAGTGTTATTGAGATCCCATATGTCTGCATTATTATCAAGTATGACAATTAGAGACACAGCTGCACCTCCTGAGGCTTCCCTTCTCTGTTCATGCGGCATGATGTTGTGATTTACTATACAATATAAACAGGCAGCAAGTCACCCTGCAGATGGAGCCACGATAATTAGCAAGCAAACACAGAGAGCTAAGTACACATTCCCCACATCACAAATAGCCGAGTCGGTTTGCTTTTCTCCATCCTTACCTGGCAACATGTTCCAGAGCTTTACTTTATTGTCACCTCATGAATAATCCATTTGCTGCAGAGCTTATCAAAAAAACCCAGACTCAAACAAATCTGACCGTTTTTTTGCAAAGGCTGAGAACTTTCTTTCACCCACCCCTCCAAGTAATAAAACTTCCGTAAGTCGTTTGATGCTCTTATTAAAATATTTTTAAACCTCAATTTATCTTCCCAAACATGAATTCTCAAGTGAAGGACTCGAGCGTGTAGACAAAGCGCCCGCGAGCACACCGCCAAAGAGAATTTCGAAGAAGACGAACTTGAGCGGAGCTGGAGGAGCTAGGCCGAAGAGGGGCCAGCAACAGTTACAAGATGTGTTGCTCTCCGAAGGAGCAGCTGACTAACTCTGAATCCTAAGCAGAGGAAAGTTGTGCGTTTTCTTTTTCCTCGAGGCGCTAAAAGACCAGTTGTGTTGTCTGAGAGGGCCAGATGGGTCTGCGCTCTGTGACTAAAGTCCGGGCACACGCACACACCTCCAGGACCCTCAAGCTCATCAGCATTCACAGTAAACGCTTGCTGTTTCCCCCCTTTTCTCTTGTCCTACACTCATTTTCTCCTTTTTCCTCTCTGCTGATGGCTCCATGGGGAGGACTGGAATCGTTACTGTTTATCCAGTTATTCCTCAAGGGGGTAAAAAAAAAAAAGAAAAGAAAGACAAGGAAGCTCAGCCAGCAGGACACAAACACTCAGAGACTGAGAGAGAGAAACCGAGTGAGAGGCTAAGCAGAGACAAAGCTTGGACCTTTACACTGTTAGCAAACATTGCAGTAGGGAAACCAAACACCGCCACCCAGACAGCATAAAGCTTAAGGTTTCACTTTTATTCCCAACAGACTGAAGCAACCTTCCTACAACTGCTCTCAGATTTAAACCCTTCAATCCCGTTTCACATGGATCCTGCAAAAAAGGTTTCCAAGCTCCACAAACGCGTTTCCTGCCTAAACAACAGGATGATGTCAAATAGTTAATTTCAGTTCACTTTCACTTCTGCAATGACTCTTAAGTTTCATTACCAATACAGACCGGGCGCATCACTGGATCAGTCAGTAATATGTGTGTGCATGCAGGGAAAAAATACAGGAAACGTGTTGGGAACACCTGCGCTGCTGCAGTTCGCGAAGCTCTAAAAGAGGGTGAGGAGAAAGAGAGGGTCACCCACATATCGTCGTAGTGCCTCGCTTTGTTCTCGTGCTGAGAGCACTTCAGCGTGCTGTTTGATAAATGCTGAAGTACGCGGAGAGAAAGTAGCAGAAGAAAGATAAAGTCCGTGCAAGACTGAATGTGGCCACAGCTGTACTGCAGGTTTTCTTTTTTATTACTGATAAACACGATGAAAAACCTCATTTAAAAAGAAGCCCGATGCTTCAAAAAGCACAAAGAGTAATATTTAGTCAGAACCTTGAAATAAGGCAGACACTAATCGTCGTCTCTGAAGCTCATATTTTCACAAATCTTTGCGTTTTCAGATTAGAAATTTGTGGTTAAAATCTTCTTGACCATTAAAAATTCAGATTAAAAGCAGCAAAATATAAAAAGATACGAGTGTTCCGAGTTGGTGATTCGACTCAAATATTTTGCAAAAAAAACAAACGGCGAACAATTCGCAAACACAAAGAATAAATTCTGCATGTGCTGCAGCACCTTAAACTGCAAAACCGGATGGCCTAAAGGTGGTTTCAGGCACAAATGGAAAAAAGCAGCCCGAGCTTTGACATCAGATGACAAATCTCAGTTCAACCCACAGGCAGCAGAAATAATTTGTTTGTGAGGGAAATGTAATGAAGAATTTACGTTTCTGTGCTTAGATTGCCGCCCCCGCCATTAACAAAAAAATAATTAACTTTCTGATTGTTCTGTGACAGGACACCTGGGATAACGTTCTCTACTTCCCACCTTCGCACATTTTATCTTCCGCTCTCGTCACACAGAATTAAAACCGTTTTGCTTTTGTCTGGGCTCAAGCTGACATTTCTGCCAATCTTCCTCCGAGGCATTTCACTAAGTTGTTTTACAACATTTCCACCCTGTTGAGCCCAGTTTGAAGCAATGACGCAGTAAAAATGGAGGAAAAAAAAGGAAAAGAGATTAGAATAATTAAGTTTTAAGCCATCTGGAGAATTTTCTTCCTGTGGGGGTTTGAGTGACAGTAAATACAGTATAACTTAAAGTGGCATTAAACAGAAACACTCGACTCAGGCTTTGGGAACGACTACAAAACAAAAGCTGCAACAATATAACCGAGGCTTTGTTTGCTCTGGGAAAATGTGAGGGAACTATTTTTACCCCCCACAGTGCAAAAAAATAAAAAACAGACTTTTTGAAGAGATGTGTGGCTCTCAGAGGCTGTTAGGTTAGGAGTAATGAACCTATGAAACAGCACTGCACATTAAGACGTTTATGACGACAGTGCCGATGCTGAGGTTTGGTGATATTTAACAAAGTTTTGAGAAAATGGTTTGAGTCATAAAAATTTAAGGGCTAGGCTTGGGTTTGTAACAAGGGGGGAAAATGTGGCCATCAACGGGAAACTGAAAACAAACAGCACTGTTACTTCCTCCATTACTCCAGACTGACTCATAACTCCTAACAGCCACTTTAGAGTTTTGTCTCCTGATCATAAAAAAGGAAAGTTTGGCTTTCTGGTGAAACAAGTCATTCCCCCCCACTTACAGGCCTTGTTAGGGACTTGTCCAGATTTTGGGCAGCAAATATCAAAGGTGTGTTGAATTAGATCTTCCTGCAAATCCATTCGTCCAGGTAACAAAAACTACAGATAACAATCGTCCCATATCTGTCAGCTGTGTCCCGCCCTTCAGATTTATGACCCGGTTTATCCCATAAACTCTTCACATACCTGCTTGTCCTTGTCTTTAGCTTTCCCGCTGCCCGACACCCGCGACGAGGTGACATCACGGGGGATGACAGACATTTGGTGCAGTGGCATGTTCATCCCAGCAGAGCCAACCGGGGGGGGGGACGCTCACACACACACTTCCTGTCCCGCTGCCAGAGCAAAGGGCATGTTGGTTTGAACTACGACACCTTGCCAGCACCGCCCCTGCGGAGGACACACATTACATCAAAATTAAATATGAGCATCGTTTTCTGTCGGAGCAGCTGGAGCGATGAAATGCAAATGTGGAGTAAGAAGCAAGAAATGACAGCCCTGAAGTGGTACAGCTGCATTTTAAACACTCAAGTGTGTTTTCACCTGGTTTGCTCATTACTCGATTGACTTCTTTAGGGATTCTTCAGGGGTTTTTTTAAGTCTAAGTTGATTAAATTCAAATGCTGACGAGTGTGAGTCTTCGCATTAGAGAGCCAACCTCTAGAGTCTGGCTATTCATGTGTAGATATACCCAGCTCTTTTTATTTATGGTAATGTGGCTTCAGTTACATATGATGTAAGGGAAGAAGGAAGGAAAACAACAGATATCTGCATATGAATGTGCAGCATTTGCTGGCAGATATTTGACACTGGAGGCTCTCTGTTGGTTTAGTTTAGTTAAAGTAGTCGTTTAGGATAGTTTTGTATTTTCTAATTAGCTTTTTTCACATTTTACTTTGACTTTTGCATGTTTCAGTTTAGTTTAGTCAACTGTAAGAATCTTGGTTGTAGGCACCAATCACATTTGGGCACCGCCGAGTTGAAAGCAGATAAAAGGCCCGTGTGGAGACCCTATCGTTAGCTGAGACCTGAGAAAACCTAAAATACTAAGTGCTGATGATGTGTTGATCATAAAATGTAGACTTGGGTTTTGTTTTGTAGATTTATTCTGCATTTATGTGCAAAACTGAGTATGTATAAGTGTATTCTTAGTGATTATTACAAGGCATCTGTGTATTTTAAAGACATCTATGTTGCTGTATTTGGTGTTTCATTATCAGCTTTATTTTGGTAAACCAACAAAAGTTTGTAAACAAACTTATTTTACTAGTTTACAATTTTAAATCAGAACAAAACGAAAGCATTCCCCATAATCACCTCTGCCGTTCTGACCCAGAGTACAGTGTTAAAGGACCTTCGGACTTTCCTCAAATCTCAAAAGCACAGTCAGCTGCGACTTTCCAAAAGAGAGCCGTCTCTGAACAGCACGAGCGCTGAGTGAGATATATTACCACAAGGGTGATTTCCAAAGTGTAAACCATATCACAGCGGGGGCGTGCATGAATTCACTTTTGTTTTTCCAGAAACCTGGATTCAGACTTTCTGCAGCAGTGACTGGTGGCGAGTCGGTTTCTCTTTCAATCTGATTGAGTCAGAGTCATGAAAGCAGCAGCGTGGGACTGTCCTGTGGAGTTACACAAGAGATTTTACACACGGGTCGTATTAACTTCAGTTAATGCAGCCATCTGTACTCCCACTGACAGCAATTAAGCTGTAGCTCCTTCTCACCACTAGGCTGTATATGTGTGTGTTTGCACGCAGCCCAGCCTGCCATACAAACCCTCAAGCTCCACAGTATGAAAATGACTTGATTAAGACACCAAAAAGCAAGCGGGACAGATGGGAGGTCAGTAAAATGGCAGTAATCAGAAACCAGTGTTGACGGCAGGAGGGGGAAAAGCGGGGAAGTTGGTGGCTACACTCATTCAGGGCTTCGGACTGAGAATGCCACACAGTCTCACTGAGGAGACGATCAGACCATCGCAGCCAGAGCTGTCACTTCAGCTCATCACCGCACTGTATCTGATAAGTACTCAACAAGATGGAGAGGTGATTACGCACCATCAGCAGACGCATCAGCTTCTTGTGCAACAGCTGGCAGTCTCAGCTTGATGTCAGCAGACAGTGTGGGGGAGGGGGGTGTAATAAAGAGGCAGCAGAAAGCACCTCAGCACCCAAAAACAACAACAACCAAAAAAAAAAAACCTACTCTTAAGTGAACTAACAAACAAACTGCAGGCTTGTCTCAGACCCAGTGGGAGAATCAGGGATGCAGTAGAGAGTGCAGAAGTATCACAAACCAGGATGAACACCCTAATCCACAATCGGTCCAAAGTGTAGCCACTCTTTGCCTTAAGACTGTTATAACATCATAGATGAATATCACACAGCATTGATATGGCAATAAAGTGTGCATCATGTCTGCTTTCCTCTTGCTATAACACAGCATTTTGATTTAAACATGCAGGTAGTAATGGTTAATACACCGAATTACCAGAAAATAGCAATGCACACTAATTCAACATGCAGAGAATACATGCATATTCATTGCTTCTTCTCCCCTCTTATGTAGGCGGTATATATCGAAGATGATCATCTTGCACCATATTTAGAATCTCAGAATCACTGATGCCGTCATTACTGTGGGAAACGTGCTGCGACAGTATTATGAGATACTCCTTCTTTCTCCACACGTAATCACTTGTGTAATTGTTTATCCTTGCAGATCCTCTAGAAAAAATACATAAATACATTGATTTTTTATAAGCAGTGGCACTGAAAACAATAACTGTATCAGTGGAAACCTGCTTTCGTTTAAAACATCCAAGGCTGTTCCTAATGATCAGTGCAACTGTTTGCAAATTATGCACACTACAAAATGCTTTAATAATACAGCCTTAAATTTGTTTACAGCTTCATAATGGTGCATAACAAACTGTTTATTTTTAACATTTCTGTTGGGTTAAATATACATTTTGACCCTGTTTTTGAAATAAGTGAATTAACAACAAATGCAGATATTTCACCAAAGGCACAAAGAGGCCCTGAGCGATTAGGCGATTACACTCTCATGATTATTAGGACCTGAACCCAGCTGAATACTTAGCTAACCCTTTGAGGTCCACACCAAGAAAAAAGCAATTTCTTATTGACTTGGATGAGTAATAACCACAACCAACATTTTTTTTTTCAATAGACCCTGTAGTTTTTAAAATATTGATCTCTACCAAATGGTTGAGATGTCACTTCATGGTAAAAGTAGGAAATGCAAATACAAGTACAGTAGATAATAAAGTTGAAAAAAAAATCAAATAAAGGGCCAAATTATAATCAAATTAATAACAAAAACTATTCAGGGCATTGGATACAGTTTATTTCTAGTAGCATGCCAGTGATCATTGCTGGTTTTCATTCCATCAAAGGAAACTATTATATCAAACAACAAAATACATATTTTTTTAATCTGCAAATGTGAAAAATGTGCAGCAGCACAAAATACTCACATTCAGACCACTTCTGATTGAATGCTACTGTGCAAAATCATTTTTGTTTAATAAAATAAAATAAAAATAAAAACAGTGCAAATCAAGCACATCTGCTTATGGTTTTGGTCGTTGGGGTCTTAGGGTGTAGAATTTATTCTGTGGTCTTGGAGAGCTGAATCATGGTTGTCCAACTCTAGATGCTGGCTTGTTAACTTGGTTCAGACACAACCAGGTGGAATCCTTTTGAGAGCCATCTGTTTCTGGTCCAGTAGGGCACAGTCCCTCTTGTAGACCAGGTATTCAAGTCAAGGATGTATCCGAACAATGGAATATGCCATCTCCTTAACTTGTAACTTATAACTTGTCTTATACAGGTGTAATAGCATATCAGAAAGCTTAATTCCTCCCATATGCTAATTATATACAGGGATGAGTGATTGGCATGGAATGGTGATCTTTGCATTGGACTCTTTGCTCCACCGTTTGACTGATGAAAGAGGCATGAACCCACAGGCATTGTTTAGGTTGACACATTTGGTGTCAAACCATTTTATTGCAATCAGAGCTTCATCAGACCTGTAATCACAGGCTCCATGGCCCTTCTTCATCAGGTCTTTGTCTGCCATCAGGGAAGCTCCACCGGTTGAAGTTTGGTCATACAGTACCAATGCACCTGACACCCAAGGAGGTGTGCAAGTTCTGGCCCAAGCTGAAACTTGTGAAGAGCTGAGGTTCTTTTATGGGGTTGTATAGTGTTTTTTATAACGTTGGCCCCTTAGAGGTAGCTTCTGTTCCTTTTCACTGAGGGGAACATTGAAGAATGTAGATCCCCCTTGATACAGCACCAAGTCGTAGATGATGCCAGATGAACTTGGCCGAACAATTTAAAACCCCACTCATCTGGTTTGTTGGCAATATACTGATGCAGAGTGCCAGCCCTGTTGGCTTCATATGAAACCATGACCTCAAACACACTGTGGTTGAATGGATGATATCATGAGTATCATGCCACAGGACCATGTGATTTTTAGCCATATAATTGTTTAGTGTCCATATAGTACTTGTTAAACATAAAATTATAATTTTGACAACTTAGTAATATTAATTTACCAGCTACTGTAATTTGATTAAAAGGTAATCAATTGTGATATTTGTGATTTCCACGTGTTATTCTTGATTTTTACAATATTTACTAATATTAGCTCAGAAAGTTACAAAAATAACTTACTGAGGAAATTATTTCAGCATATTCTTGCTGTGCTAACACTTAATGTGATTTATCAACAGCAATGGATAAACAAAATGGGTCTAGTGGTCTGATTTTATGGCAAATAATCAATTTTAATAACATTTAGGTTATGTTAGCATTAACACCATAAAGTGACAAATCAACCGTTTGGTTGACCACTTTAAATTATTAAACATTTAATTCACTTTTTTAATGCTGTCAAGTGAAAAATCTGTTTAGTAAGTCCTCTAACACTATCACATATCAAAAAATTATATCTTCCTAACTTAGTTTAATCAAAAACACTCAAAATATGTTGGATGGTTTTTTGTTTCTGACTTCCTGTTTGGGAGAGGGATAAGAAGAGCTAATCGTTTACATTCACAGTGCCTTCTGGTGGATTTTTTGGGCATTACGGATGTAAACCAATTGGTAGAAAAGACTCAATAAGGTAGATCTAGTTCAGTGAAAGCCTCGGTTAGATATAGGGCCTGAAAATGTGCTCTACCAATTGGTTGAGCAGAACGCTAAAGGGCTAGTCTGGGTTTGCTTTAGACAGCAGCCCGCCCACTCTCACCATCATCAATACACAACAGCAGATTTTCAAAAACTTTGAAAAACTATGCCAAGGAGCGCTGAAGCTCTTCTGTAAGTTTGTCCCAGTTTTTCCTTTTATG